AGCTCTCCACAATGAAACCATCCCTCCCCAAACCTATCACCTGAACTAGTTCAGGTATGTCTATTATACACTGTGCATGATCCAAGAAAATAATTGTTATGAGTAGCTAAGGTTGGAACAGATTTGTCTGACCCCCCACTTAGTGAAGGACTAGCTTCAGAGTGAGGGCAGGTTGTCCAGGGCCTCGTTCAGTCAAGGCTTGAGATCTCTAAGGAACAGAAAATACAGAGCCTCTCCAGGCAAACTGCCAGTCTTGTTGGAAATCCTTTGTTTTTTTCTTGTATCTGACTGGCATTTCCCTTGCCGCAATTTGCGTACATCATTCCTCAACCTTCTTCTGTAAAATGCTGTGGCCTATGAAGAGCTTGTTTTCTTTCTAAGTTCAGTTTAGGTCTTTGAAGAGTGATCTAGCCCTATAGCGAGGCAGACTTCACCTCACCGCGCAGCCACACTGCTCACTCATATTGAGCCTGTTGTCCATCAGAAACCCAAACACCTGATACTGGATACACCCCACTTGTTTTTTTGTTTTGTTTGTTTTTTGTTTTTTGCAGAGCTGCATTCTAGCCAGTTGGTCCCCAGCTTGTACTGTTATACAAGGTAGTTCCACCAGAAAGCATCAACTTTTGGTGGAAACAAACAAAAAAGTGAGCAATAGGTTTAACTTTTACAATACACCAGAATATTTCTGACAAAAACTAACAGCATGAATTAGGGTGCATGGACTAATTTTAATAAATTCTGACAGCGGGCATTAGGCAGAATGGTAGTGTCCAGGTTCAGACTTGTTATTTAAAAAACCCTTGTTCAGCAGCTGCTGTACCTGCAGGCCCCTGCAGTCACAAGCTGCCTTCCTGTCTGATATCCCAACTCCCCAGGCACCTGGAGCTATGCTACTAAGCCTGTCCTGAACTATTTCAATCTCAGCACCTCAGTGCTTATCTCCCATATACACCCAGCTGGAATCCAACTCAGGGCCTTTTCCAGCTTACATCCCTTAGAAGCCATGCACTCAAAACAGGTGTTCTTTCTTACCTTCTAGCTCTTAGGGGTCCACACTTAGAATAAAGGTACTCTGAGAGAACACCCCATATAAACAGCATGGGACAGTGCTTTTTAACCTTTTTTTTTTTTTCCTCCAAAAGTTGCTAGAGAACACAGTAGCAAATGCAAAGAACAGCTTAATTGTTAAATCATCCAACCAGGAAACGTGAGACACTTTCAATTTGAGGGCGTCCAAAACCATACCTTCCATCACCAAGCTATAACAATAAGGTTATTTTTCATTCCTTCCTCTCAAAACTGTTTCATTGTGGATAAATTAGTGAACGCATCACAGAAGCAATGCTTTAGAGTACCTATCTTAACCCCTGTATTTCTGTGCCCTAGCAGCTAAGCTGTAAGACCATGCCTTCTCCCTTCTGTCTGTCCCAAGTACCTTGCCACACTGCTACGCAGCTTCAGTAAGAAAGGAAAATGCTTTTTTTCAAAATGCCATACAATGTGCAGGAACTTTTACTTGTGGCTGTGATTTATGAGGAATTTGTTCTTGGAACTCCTAACATCAAAGCAAGTGATGTAAACAGTGCACATTAGAGGAAAAAATGAGCATTATCTTATCTGTTTTATGAATGACTGCTCACTATGTTGAATAAGATATCTGTAGACGTAGCTCAGGAAAATACACTGCATCGAGAGAAGTGCCCACTTAGATGTCACACCAAGACAACTTCAGACAGCCGGCTGTCAGAGCAGACTCCACAGCCCGCACCATGACAAGACGCAGATGTTCCAGGACACGCTCCAAATGACTCGTGAGTCTGAAGGGAGAACTGCCTAAAGCAGCCAACCTGAAACACCGAGCACACAGGCACCCGAGATGCCACCCCTTCCTCAGCCACCTTATGCTGCAGGTAGGTGGCTCTTCCATCCTCTAGCTCCTCATGAAATTAGAAGCCTAATTTGTCTCATACTGAAGTTTCACCTTTTAAAGCATATAAGGAGAATAAACTGAGTAGGCTGGTACATTCAATCCAACTGGAGAAAATACAAAGTTTATTCTCTGTATCAGACCAAAGTTGATTTTTTTTCCCTCAATTCTTTTGGGTGTGTGCTTTAGTCCCAGAGCTATCAGACATTCAAGTTCTCTTGCTGGAGGTACTCTGCTTTGCAGAAAGAATGCAAAATTAATTAGGGAAAATAAAGGGTGGAAAACACAGGGAACATGACCGGATTATGGAAGTCGTAGTGTCTGCTCCCCTAGCTGCTTCATCAAGGAGTGTTTTACATACAAATGCCTAAGAATTCATTCGAGCAGAAATTGGAGCACAGGTTTCCCCCTGCCCGAAGGATTGTCTAGCTCCTAGACTTGACTCCTGTGGCTGGAGAAAAAGAGACGTATCACAGCTCTTTAATACTTTTTGTACAGTAAAACAGCTTCAAGGGGGGGAATAGCATGCTTATCGCCTGAAGGTGGGAAATGAGGGTCTGAACCCCTGGAAGTGAAAGGGGGAATACTGGCTTAATGCAAAAGTAAGTGAAATTCCATATAACATGGAATGTCAGATTAGAGGAGATCAGTGGTTCCATGGCTTTAAACAAAACGAACATAATTAAAAAGCTTGATCATATATTTAGTGTTAAGTTCAAACTTCTATGAAATCAGGGTGATTAAACACTAAAGAATTAATCAGAATCAAAGTCTGTCAAATAGTGTTTTTGCTCTCACCACCTTGGTATCCCTTTAAAGTAGAAAAAAATATTAAACTCATTTAAACCCCACTTTTACTCCATTTCCTTTTATTTGCAGCATAATAATTTCACAGAACTAGGTCTGGTTATACTCGAGGGTCACCCAGTTGGATTCCTGATGTTTACTGCTCACTAAAAATTACACTGCAGTCACAATTTTAATTCCTTCATTATGCAGATCTAGACATGGTAGTCCTAAAAACCTTCTTATTAAATCTGCAGGAATCAAGATGGCTCTCCCTAAAGTCACTGTAGAGCTGGATAAGTTTTTTCATGATTTTGGTTTCACAATGTTTATTATTCTAAAAAAAATAAATCTTCCTTAGAGACAAATCAATGAGGTTTTCAAATGTGTCTAAACAATTAAGAAATGGAAATGTACTGGGCATTAATGGGAACAAGCATTTCTAAGTTCTTTTTCATACCCAGTCTGCAAATAAAGTATCTATATATCTAGAGAAGCCATTTGGCAAACATTCTTATATCAGACCTCCCTTAAAATAACTTTTTTTTTTTTCCTTCTCTGCTTCATCTAACCTTTTACTTTTTCTCTGAACACATAACAGTAAGATCATCGCTTGAAAGAAACGTATGTAATAAACACCTTGAAAATGCCTACCAGGAACCATGCACAGAGCCACAAGATGTCAGTGCAGCTCAAACATGGTTAATCAGGATCAAGCAGCCTCCTCAGCCTCTGAAACATGCTTAGCAGAATTTGTCTTTGAGAGACACCGTCACCATACAAACATCTCCTAAATAAATCTGAAGAGGAATTAAGCTAAAAATCACAAACTCTTTTCACGTCAAGTGAAAATGACTATTTCTGTCATTACTGGGTTTGTCAAAGAAAATGTCACAATACAAAACAGATTTTTATATTCACAAAGTTGCTCAGCAAAGTAGTATGGTTGTTAGCATATTTGGCAGTTTAAACATCTTCCCCAGCTCCACACCCGTGAGTCTGACTGCACCCTCAGTTTTCTGTCATGTTTGAATTAAAGGAAGCATCGGCTGACTCCATACTACATGGTGCATGGTGCTTTCCCTGAGGTAAAGAAGCAAAACTTGTTCCTCCTCTCACTAGCATTAACAAGATGCAATGTCATTAAGTCCTCCTTTCTAACCAAGACAGCTGAAATTGGTCAGTAGAATCGCAACTTGTGAATGCTGGAGTAAGAGCAGTGAGCATCAGAGAAAACTAACAGCCTGCAAAACTAAGATTTTGTTCATTAGAAGATCAGTCTATAAAAGAACAACTGTGCGTTGAAATGTTAGAAAACATTAAGGTAACTAGAGAACAGACTATTTCTTAAATACCTTAAAACAACATTGAATGTGACACTAAAAATTGGAATGCACAAATGGTCTACAAGAAATTAAATAACCCAAATATAGCGTACACAATTAATAAAAACACTGTCTTTTTAAGTTTATGATGTCTTACCTTTTCAGCATAATTTTGGGCAACAGCTGAAATCAGCTATCAAGCTGATTTCCAGTTTGACTCAACTTTAAATACAATACATAAAAAGATAACTGTATATAAGAAACAAGATGATCCCATTTCAAAATCAGCAAGAGGTAGTCTTACTCTAGGGAGTAGTGCTGCATAGTAAGTTCTTCAAACTCAGATGTATCTCACTGTATGGTTATAACATCTTACAGCTACATTAAGACATAAATAAATAAAAACAAGAAAAAGATACCCACTCTCAGAAATCCCAGGTAGGCTTTACGGGACACTGAAAAATGTCAGAGCATTTGAAAAACATCACAATCTTTTTAACAGAGTTCAGATGTTCATCAATACACAATGTACATCTTTAAAAATAATGCAAAATGTTTCCCAAAGTAATTGCAAGTTACTTTGCAAGTAATAGGATATAAATCATGCCTACCTATCTGCCACAAGAGGTCTGGCTAACTTTAAGGTGTGAGTTAAAAGTACAAGAGCAGCACAGAGCAGATGCAGGGTGAGCAGGGCATGCATCTCATGCTAGCAAGCTTACAAGTGAGCCCACAGAAAGTCTGTGCCATTTGTACAGCATTCAGAAGCAAACCTTTATTCAGCAAACTACAGATACAATCTGCTCCACAGCTGCTGGATTAAATGGCAAGGACTGCTCCGTGGCACCATCCCACAAAGGAAGTAGAGATGTAGCTTCGAATTCTAATTCGAATGCATTCACCAACCACAGAGGTCACAGAAAGTTTGAAAACATTCAGAATGATTTAGGCAAGGCATGTTACACACAGAAGATAAGCATTTTATTGTTCATGACAAAGAGGCAAAATAGTGAATACATCATTTTTAATTCCAAATGCAACTGGCTCTTTATCACTGTTACATATTTAAAAAAAAATCAAAGTAATCAATGACATGTATAAACAAATGCATAATTTACAGAAAAATATTTAGGAAATACAACCAAATGATAAGCAATAGCTTCCAATTAAATTTTACCAAATCAAAGCATTATTATTATATACTCATATATATATTGCCTGCCCAAAGACAAATAGCGTAAGTTATCTAAACTCTCAAATCCTCTGACAATTTCTCTCAATAGGTCACATGCACAGCCTCTTCTACTGCTTGGAAGGAGGATGCTGTTATGGCTGAGGCTGGGGATAGGGGAAGTACACACCAAAGAAAGAAGACTGGGAATAAAATCTTAGCAAGACATCCCAGCAACTTCATTTAACAATTGTAACATAACCCTAAAATGCCTTTCTGAAAATTCATACAAGCAATGACTGAAGCTGTTATCTTTATTTTCATTTACAGTATAATCCTGAAAATACTTTCCCATTATCTAGTTTCTACCTTAAGGAGTTTGGTCATCAGACCTTCGGAAAAGAAACGATCATTTCAAGCTAGATTCATTACGTGTTGAAAATAAGAAGTCTTTCAAAAAGCTAATGTGCGATTAGCAGAACATCAAAATCATACTCTTAACAGCTCTTTGTTTTTTCTTTTTAAACCACCTGTAATTATTAGGATCCATTTTGTAACATTAAGTATTGTACAACCGCCTAAGTTAAGACAGTCTATTTTACATTAGCAAAAATCAAATTTAAAAATGTTAGTTGCACATTAATATTACACAAATAGAACTGCCATTTAAGGTATTCAGACGATCTTTTTAAAAAAAAAACAAAACAAAAAAACAGACACTCAAGATGTGCTGTTAGAACCAAATGATAGCCAGAAGTTAGAATCACAGTTAATTAAACCTTAAAACTTTTATGCAGAGGCACTTAAAACTAAGTATTACTTGGCACTACAAAGAACATAACCCCATGAAGTAAATATAGAGTTATCAATGTGAGTTGAGTGAGCTTTTTCATACAGTTAAGTACTTTTTCTTAATCTGGAGCCTAATCATTATTCAAATAAATGTTTTGATGGTATCTTCACACTGTCTTTAGAGACTGGGGTTCATCAGAATGACAAGTTTCAACCAGTACTTCTGATAGTAGATTTACTCTGTGTGAAATCAATTTTTATTTTTTGTATCATCACAGTGCTGAAAGACTTCATAGTTTTCTCTCCCTCCCCTCCCCCCCCCCCAATGTTATAAGAACTAAGATACTTTATTAGCGATGTAGCACTCTCTTTCCAGACACCTTTTTTGGAACTTTTATCACAAGCAGTCCTATCCTATTTCTTTGCTTCACGTCTATCAAAAAAAAAAAAGGTTTATTTTTGTTTAGTTATGATCTGGTTCACAAAGAAAACCACCACAATTAGAATTTGGATAATTAGGCTGCAAGCATGTTGATTCAACTTCATCAACTGGAATGGGACAGCACCTACCTGCAGAGTAGACTGCATGGCCAGCAGCAACTAAGGCACAACCTAGATTATTCTCCTCATACAAAATATCAACCTCTAACCTCATTCCAGAGCCATAGTGTTTAAAATGGAATATGAGATTTGGTTTACTAAGAAGCTTTTGAAACAGAAATTTGGCTTCATCACTCCAGTATTCCCCTGTGGCAGGAACTATACCATGTAAAGAGCAAGAGTAAGCCAAGTGTGGTAAGACAGACAGACTTTCTGGAATAACTTTAAGTCTATGGATTTCCGAGCAGGGGATGCTTTTCAGAAAGCCATAATCAATAAATGTAATAAGAACAGACTGACTTGTCACTTCACTAATTTGTACTCTGTTCCACTGTGCTTCCAGTCCAAACTGGATCAAGCAGCTGTTACCAGGAAACACAAGTTCTTCTGGCAAAGCTGGCAAGTCATCAGGAACATCAGAGAGCAGCAAAGATAAGGTTTTCATGGAATCAAATAAGTCTTCAAACTGGACGCTGAAGTTTGAAGGATCAGTAACTGCAGTTGCAAACCCAGAATACTTTCTGCCACTCTGCAGCAGTGTCCATGTGATTGAATTCATCCCGAATGACTTCTGAAACTCCTCCATACAGTCTGTATTAATGGATTTTTCCGGTTCAACAACAGTTGTTAAGAGCTGATTCAAGTATTTCTGAAGCAGAACTTTCCCTACTAAGATATCTACTTCCCAGATATGAGAAGATTCCAAGTATCTCAGAAACAAGATCCTTATTCCACCATTTAGGAGTGTATTTACTACATGGACAAATGGAACTTTACTCATTTTTTTTAACCAAACCCATTCACAAAGCACAGCTTGTTTAGGAATGCTTTTAATCTCATCACTGAGAATCTTTGCATTATTTAAGGACACCATCTCATAGATGCCATAATCTATAAAAAAAACTAGCATTAACCTCTCCCTGATAAACATCTTTATCACTTTCGATCGATACCACTTTAAGTTCCTTTCAGATTTTACCATGCACTCCAACCCTTCTTCAATGTTATCTGCCACAAGTAAACCACTTCTTTGTGCTTCTTTGACAAGCATGACATTTAAATCATTTAATATCTGCAGATTTTTAAGTAACTGTACATGAAATTCTCCACCCGCTGAAGCATTAATTATTTCTGCTCTTTCTATTTGTTCAGTATTTAGATCCTGAGGAGGGACATTTAAGCACATTTTAGAATTATTTTCCATCCTAGCAGTCTGATTTTTCCTTTGACCACCTAAGTCACTCACAGAATTTCCATCTTGAGGATTACCATTTGTAAGCAGAATTTGTTTTGACACCTGTTCCCAACTCTGCATTTGTTTGTTTTGCAAACTTGTCCTGCCACTTTTCTGCTGAAAGCCATCAGAGATAGAATTTCCATCACAAATTATATCTACTTTCCATTGCTCTCCATCTTGCTCTAAGAATTTGCAAGTGACTAATTTATTATTTGTTTTGTTTACAAAATAGGAAGTACTTTCGTTAGTCCAGCTTTCATCAGGAGCACTGTTCACTGTGCTAAGGAAACAATGAATACTGAGCCTCGGCAAAGTTAACAACTTTTTCTGAATCCTGCAGATTTTGGAAAGGCTTACAACTGCTGTATTGCCATAGTCAATAAACTCTACCTCAAAGGAGTTTCCTGATTTCAGAGTTTTAATAACTGCCCTATAGTAAAAACAGTCAATGGCAAACTCTGCTAAAATGAGATCCCCTACCATGAGCTCACCTAAGCCATTTTCATGACCTATATTCACCATGCTTTCATTTAATTCTTCTGCTAGTTGAATTACTAAGTTTTCATCCTCTGCAAACTGAATATAGAAACTCGATGGACTATTTATATGAGAAATATACCCTGCTACTTCAGAATTCACCTGAATATCACGTTGAGGAAGACTGATTAATTTTGGAATATTTTCATTATCCCTTTCCTGCTGACCTGTATAATTTAGTTGTTCAGTACGAGATTCAGAGAGAACATTTACAGTTATTTCCTTTAAACTTAAAGAAGGATGACACAGTGATTGAGAAGCAGACTTTCCATCCAGAGATTTCTCTCTGTGTTCTGTAGCAGCACTGTAAGGTTTTAGAAAACCTGGTTCTTCACTGCCCTCTGAAGTTACCGGCTTTGAAGACCCACAACACTGGTTTTGTGTTCTACGTGTAATTTGCTCTTCATCTCCAAAATTCTCTCCATTATCTGCCTGGTAATACTCATTGTCTACTTGAAATTCCAGTTTATTTTTCAATTGAATCCTTTCAGGACTTTCAAAACTTACTTCACCGTTATTTTCTACATACTGTATCACTTCATAACTTCCAACAAATTGTTCTGTATAATTTGTCACGTAAGCCAATTCTTCCAATAGTTTTTCTTCAACTTTCTGACCTACATGGAGCTGTCCATCATACAACTCGACAACAATCTGGCCATCTGATTCTCTGGATACAATTACAGCTTTCAGCAACTTACCAAGGAAAGTTTCCTCAAACCATCTAATAACTCTTGCTGGAAATTTTGTGTCCTTAAGATCAGACAGACAGCATTTAATGGCTTGCATGGGTGTGAGTATTAGGTCAGTGGCAGAGTCTGGAATAGGCATCAATTGGTCTGTCTCTACCATATGCTTATTTCCAAAATCCACAAAGTCAGCACATAGATAGGATGTTGATCCCACAGGAGAAACCAAAGCTCTATAAAACTGACCATCTTCAAAATATCTGGCTATACATAATCGCGTACTGATGGTATCATATTTTGCATGATTTGCCATCTTACTGATTTCAGTTACATTTCGCGACAATGCCTCTATAGTTGCACTGTTTCGATTAAGCTGGCAATAGAATTTTGAAGGGCTATGTATGTGAGTTATATAAACCTCCTCCTCACTCCCAATTTCTACATTAAAAGATGAGTAATAAAAACTGTACATGGAACCCAAAGGTGCAAGTCTTTGCAATCCAATACATTCAGACTGGTTGAGTCCACATTCCCTGAGAAAGCCCTCCGGACTAATAAACGGAGTCTGTAAGTCAACTATATTGCATAAACAGTTTGGACGTAAAAGAACTAGAGCATAGACAGTGCAAGTCAGTGGTCCTCCAGCAGCAGAAATGAAGTCGTTAAAAAGTCTACACTTTTCTTCAGACCAATTAAGTGCATCAGTTTGTAAGGGTACATTTTTAAGTGCGCACTGAAAGGCTTGACTTTCAAGAGTTAGGAAATCTGGAAGGACAGCTTGAAGATCATTAAGTAGAACTCTTTCCCGATAGCCATAGTCTACAAAAACCACATCAACTTCATTTGTGGACACTTGCTGCAAAACACTTGCTCTGTACCACTTCCCATCTTTGGGACATTTAACAACACAGGCAACCTGTCCGTTTTTGTAAGGAATAGTATGCTCTTTATAGTAAGTCTGGATTTGCTTCATTAAGGTATTTAGCTCTGGCAGTTTACTCTGCAACTGGCATGAAAACTCTGTTGGGGAAACACTGTAAGAACACACCACTTCAAAAACAGCTCCTGGTTTAAACACAAGCTCTTTATAAAGTATTTTTTTTTCAGGTACTGTGACCTGGGAAAATGACTGAGACCTGACCTGATGACTTTCAGAGAGAGCATCTTTTCCAAAAGAGGACGGCATCACTGATTTTCTCAGCCTAGAAGATGCGCTTACTGTTTTTTCCTGTTGAAATACCTGTCTATTTTGTGATACATTATTTTTATAAATATCAGAGGTGCACCGTGCATTTACATAATTTTGCTTTAACTGGAAGGGAATTCTGGGCTTGGTGTTTTTTTGACAGATTTTGAGCAGAAACTGGTCTTCTTTCCCAGTATTCTGCATATCCAGCCTGAGCCATAAATGTGGCAACATTAATTTCCTGCAAAGCATTCCTACACCGTGCATTAACAATATATTTGTTGTTTTGCTCTCCAATGACCTGAAACAGCAGCAGTTTGTTAAATACAATTTGTTTGAAGAAATCAGTTTCCTTTTTAACCCACACATCTTCAACAGGAGAAGTGCAAGCAAGTTCACAACACACAGCTAAAGCCTGGCAAAGCAGCAAACTCCGGAAGCAATGTTTTCACATCGTAACCAGGTACTGTATCTGTATTCCCAAAATCTAAAAAGTAGACAGTAATGCTTACATGAAGCACTTCAGTGACAACACCCCGATAATAATGCTTATCTTTGCTATACCTGGCACAGCACAGTAATCCAGGTTCCGGGTTTTCAAGGACCCAGTCATCAGCTCCACAGTGGTTATATGCATCTGCAATACTATTCATCAGGGCTTGAAATTCTTTCTGATATGCACATGTCTGAATCCAGAAGTTGGACGGATTTATGACATATACCACAGAAGCAATATAGTAAGTATTCATCTGCATTTTTACTCTTTTGCAATGCCTTGATAAAGACCTATCCCATTCAGGTAAGCAGTTCTTTGTCTGTTTATTTCCAGTGCGATTTTTAGACGAACTCCAGACACTTGCTTTGTAGCTTACACCGATGCTAGAGATTTTTGTTTCCAAAGGTGGGACAAGTGATGCAGCCGCCTCATTCAAGTTCTCTGGATGCTTAGCATTAATTCCAAAATCTTGATTTTTCAGCGTAATATAATATAAGTGTTTACTGGCATTGAATAAATCAACACAGACACACACAGAAGTCTGTCCTGTCAAGGCCTGTATAAATGTTTTCAGCTGAAGATTTATTACTGCTTCATCCTGACTCCCAAAACAAGACAGTGCACATGGAAATGAAATCATAGGCAGTGACATGAACTCTACTGTAAGTTTCTGAACACAACTAGATGGCACAGTTTCGATATTACCTAAATCCATAAACCAGACTTCCACACATTTGGGCAGAAGCTGTTTTATCACTCCTCTATGCCATTGTCCGTTCTGCCTTTTAGCAGCACAAAGTAGCCCTAAACTATCAAAAGATGTATTATTCTCTGTACTGATAGCTTCATAGTACAAAGACATAGCTTCTGTCAAATTTTCCAGCTCTTTCTGTCGTTCCTGTATCTGACAGTAAAATTTACTCAGGCTTATTGCAACAGTTATTTTTACATTTACTTTACTACCAGCTGGTAGATGTGGAAAGAGATCTGGAACTGGCCAAAAGTCTGATGGTTTCTCTGAATTAGTAAAAGTAAGCAATTCCTGGACTGGACGTTTCTGTTGCAACAACTGTGGCACTCTCCTAAGTGTTTCTGGTGGTAACACTTTCAACATTTCTACAATAAGACAAAAGGAATCTCCATCAATAAGTTTTCCTAACTGCAGTTCAAGAATATCACTAATGACCTTTGGTACTTCCAGAATAAACAGCTGGTACTGATGTAACAGATTTCACGTGACCTGTAATCTGCAGTCCTACCAGTGATGAAAAATAGTTTATGGCTTTTGGACTCCATTTTTCTCCAAGAGGAAGTATGTTAGCAAAAATCCCACAAACTACTTTTGGAGGCAGCTGAAAAAAATCATCACCGGCAGAAGCAATATGTATTTCCTCAACCACTAGCACCTGTCCAGTGTCTATAAGAAAGGCTTTACAGATGTTCTCTTTCTTTTCCAAAACTTTTCCTCTATGCCATTTTCCATCCGCATCTTCCACCAAACAAGATCCACCAATGTCAACATTATCTTTCACTTTGAATACACGTTGCATTTCATTTTGCAGTATGTAGTAGTCAAGTTCACACCCCACCTTGCATTGACCCTTGAATACTATGACCACGCATTCTGGATGGCACTCTATGTGACTGATCTTCAGATTCATATCAACTACATTTGGTGAAGGAGTCAGAGATTTCATTCTGTCTGCAAAAAGAAGGAGCAAGATCAGCCTGACAATTTTTCCTATTTCCTTATTAACTAATTCCTTATATGAAAGTTGTTTTTAAAATGTTTTAACAGTATATTTTTACAGTTCTGGCTAGAACATATACCGAACATGTAACTGTCACGTTTTACGCTATTGTGATTGTACTTGGCACAATTCTCTTTTTACAAAGATATTCAAGTAATAACTGAAAAAAGTACCTCTAGAGCTGCTCTCATTGCTGCAGTCTGCATTTCTCACTTGAGCATAATTTATCATCAGAAAGTGGTTCCCAAAATGATAAAGAGAACTAAAGATACCAGATACCTTGATAAGGGGAATCACAAACGTAGGAAGGGAAGGGGGCAGATAAGACCAGGAAAGTACCTATTTCTTTTTGGAAAAGTATTTCTGCTCAAAAGAAGTGGAAGGCAATTCATGTCCTTTATAAGTATCTGGTGATCTGATCTATATCTAATAAATTCAACCACAGTGCTCTCCAAAGGAGATTCAGAGTATCACTGTACTAGACCTGCAGTTTATTAAATTTACCTGCAAAAGTGTTTCTAGTGTATTTCTTTCTTTTTAATATAGGAATTACCAAGGATGACTTCTCATACTGTGCTCTTTTTATGCAGCTTTTCATGTGAATTATTTCTTCAAACCAATGACATCTAATGCTCTGATTTACCTTTTACTTCATCTTTTGAATTATATTCATTACACTATCACATATAGCTTTAGCTTATTTTATGTTTTCTTAATTGCAAGGACATACAGAACACATTATCTATGTCTAACATTTCTGCCATGCCCATCAACAATCAGGTCAAATATGTTTTGTACTGTCTTAACTTGTACTGCTCTGTAACATCTGGTTCTGACAGTTTAAATACCCTCAAACCATTCAAACTATGCCCTAACCTTCATCTATAATTTGGTCTTCAAGATCAGTTTCCATTTTCATCCAAATTTGGACATTTCAATGGATCTGCAATTCCACATTGTTTAAAAAGGCAATACATGCCTATAATTTAACCAAGAAACTCTATGAACTAAGCCACTGTTCTAACCAAGTTAATTATGGCAGTCAACATCTGTCAAATGCAAAGACAGCTCATAAACACACAAACTGGGCAAAACATGCTTGATCCATACTTTTTACATAATGTTAAAAGTGAAGCTTTCCATTTGAACTACAAATTATTAGCACAAGACCTTCCTCATCTTGCAAAAGATTTTTCAACAGAATTGGAATAGAAGCTCTTATCGCAAGCATATATTAAGTAACTAATGATCATACATCTTCAGAAGAAATACTGCTCCCTGTCATTCTTTGCTCCACTGTAAAGCTTACCATCATAGAATGGTTTGTATTGGAAGGGACCTTAAAGAGCATCTAATTCCAATCCCCCTGCCATAAGCAAGGACATCTTCAGCTGAAGGAGGATGAGATGACACTGTAAATACTTGACTTTTCAGAAAATAACAAATAAGCAAACACAACCAAAAGACAAAACTAACCAAAAAAAACCAACGCTCTCAGTAAAAGCAGTACCAAATCCAGATCCGACTACACCTTCTTTAAGCAACACCCACGCTTTGCACTTTTCCCAGTAAAAAAAAATAAAATAAAATAAAATGGTCTTTTCTACCTGCCAGAAACACCTGATCATAACAGAGAGAATCAAATCATAGAAGGTGCCATATCTGCTACTTTGCGAACCTCATTACTTCCACTGTTTTCATTTGTTATGTGTTACAATTTAGGCATTTATGTTTTTTTTGCCAGTTATCATAACCCAAACAGCAGCATCACACTGAAACAATCAGATTCTTAAAGTTCACAAAGTAACTTCTTGCTCTTTACTCACCTTCTATACCAGGTATGGCTTATGCTTTCAGAACATACTTCTTAGAAGCCTCAGGCCTTATAATAGCAGCTCTGCACCTCTCTAGAAGATAATAATAAATTCATCAGAAAGTAGAACTCTTGTTCTCCTCTGAACACTCCTCCTCCCCGAAAAAACCTTAAGAAATTCCTTATGCCCAGTTTAATTAAAACGTTAATGTTTCAAAAAACAGAATTACAAGACTGAACCCACCTTCCTAAAACCATAAAAGACCTTTCTTCATTGGAAGTTGGAAAGAAAAAAAGGGGAAAAACAAACCAAAAAAAAAAAGAAAACAACAAAAAACAGAGCCAGAACACTACAAATACTTGCTAAGCAAGGCTGGTCACACAGCTACTCGTTTGCTGAGCTTCAGCCAGCCAAAAATCTATTATCTATTACACATCGCTACAATGCGGATTTAAAAAATGTTAAAATAACTTCTAAAGCACAACCGAAGGTAGGACAGGAGTGAAAATCTAAGGGAACTGCACATTCACAACAGCAGCAGCTCTGCACAGGGCTAGTTGACACCCTGACATAAGCAGAACGTGAAGCAGGGCTCAAACCCACAACACACACAACACTCAGACGACTGCCACCCCCGATCAGCAGCATCTTTAACGCTCACAAGCACGAAAGGGACGTGGGAGAGCCGTAACCACCACAGCACGACCATTTCCCACCACCTTAACACCGGAGCGACGAGCGATACCCCGCTGCCACCGCTCGTCCCACACCGACAAAATGGCGGCGCACCCCCGGCCTCACACACATATACACGCTCTTCGGGGCCGGGGCGGGACTCAGAGTTGATTGACAGGAGCGCTTTAAAGGCTCCCAGCCAATCAGCACAGCGCATCGCTGAGGTGCAGCCTCCATCTTGTGCTGAGTGGGGAGGGGGGAAGGAGGTGGTTGAGGTTTGGTTTGTTGTTCAGGGGCACGTCGTTGGTTTTTTCTTACGCTTGCTTTTTGCATCTGTCTATCATAACAGTCTTTAACCTTTTTTAAAGATGTCTGTGAATTGTGGGTCATCAAATCTTCAGGAAATACCTTAAGAGGCTTTGAGAGCTTTCAGTCTTTCCCATCATCAAGAATTTCTCCAGAATAGAACTGAGTGCATCTTAATAGGAAGTTTAAATGTCCCGCATCAGCAGGATCTGGTGCATAGAACCTGGGTAGGGCCTCTACAAGAAAGCTGAGCTTTTATTTATTTGTTCATTTGCTTATTTATTTAAAGTTTCTTATTCAGAAAACAAGTTTACTGAGGTGGTCACAACAAGAAACTTGGTATGAAGAACAGTCTTGCAAGTATCAACACATGTACAGTACTTCTCCCTCACAGTTTGAATGAATTTGTACATGTATAATAGTTTCTAAGGGCTTACCTTCACTTTTTACAGCTTTTTGCCACGGGTCAGGGTTCTTGCGTTGTAGTTTATATTTTCTAAAATGGCAGGAGAGAAAAGATGCTTTTACAGTAATCTAGATACAGTAATCTCCAAGTACAGTTTACAGTGAAGTCTGGATTATATATATTTAATGTGTTATACCTACTTGAATTAGCCCTAAAACTGAGAGTAGTTCTCAATTCAATTTTGCAGGTAAGTGCTCGTGGCCGTGAAATTCTATCTTTTTTTGTAAGGTTTACTCAGAATAAAGAACGTACAGGTCTATCATTGCTACACCTTTATCTTTATAATCCTGGAGAGAATGCCTAGTGTATTCTTGAATTATTATGTTCCCCCCACAGTATGTCATTAATGGCAGACTGCTTTGGAAGAAGCAGTCATTGCTTCGGTCACTGCACATGAATTTTGTGCAGTTTGTTTTGTTCCTTGATAGAAAATAAGGGTATATGTGTTCATTCTAAAATGTAAGGTTGTGTACTGTCTTAAGTAATGCAGTGCAGAAATGCCCTATGCACTCTCTCTGTACTCCAGTCTTCCCATTTCGGCTTTTTTCAGCTACAGGACCTGTATGCTGTTAAGCTGGCCTTGGGAATCTGAGGTAGCAGCAGGGTTTCACATCCATACTTGTCTTCAGGTAGTTTCTCAGTGAAGGCTTTCCTGCAGGAGGCATCTCACCCTCCCTGAACACCTCTAACAAGAGGTGCAAACTTAAGGAAACTTCTCAAATCTTGCAAATAAATGAGTCTGTAGCTCAAGAAATCTGGAACAGTAATTTTAACCGCTAAGTACATACTGCACTTTTTTCATATAAATCTGTTAATTTGAAAATACTGTTTTATCTGCTGATGTGCAGGTACTGTATTTTGCATTGACTGTACTGACAAGGGTTTTGGGGTGTTCTTTTAAGAGTAGTCTGTTTCTTGAATATACATCTTATACTAAAGATTATCATATGTTTAGCTGTTGTAGAGATGGATGTCCAGTGTATTTCTAAAGGTAGAATACTACTATATTTAGCATAGTAATAGATGAATTAAAGACTCGCAGTACTGAAATTTTCCCTTTTCTAAGGTGTTTGGAAGCAGTTTAACTAGATAAATGTAAGTATTTTACTTGGTGTTAGATTATCAGATTTCACATCCATCACATTGGTCTAATTAGGCTGAGTTAGGTAAGAATGGAGTTCATTAGTATCATGTTTATCGGGAGCAAAGGTAAGACTGAAACTTATAAATAATGTATATTATTGCAAGACTATAGACCTCAGACTGAAATTTACAATCCAAGGTAGCATCTAGTCATCCTCTTCAGTGCAAAGGGAGAGTGCTGCCTCCATATGGCAATAGGAAAGGAGCAATCTTGAGTTTATGAATACTAAATGTTACAAAGAGATGTGAGGTGGTGCTACGCTTTTATCTATAATTTAAACTGAAGTCAGTGTTGTTCTCATATTACAATCCAAAATTCACTCCTAAAGGCATAGCACTATCACAATTTTTTATTTTGTAAAGGCAGCAATATCTACACCCTTTCTTACTTAAATTACAGTGGCGATGGCAGCTGTAATATAATAATCTTAGGGCTAGAACAGTCAGAAATGGATTCTTTCAGCATGACTGAGCTTAAAAACTGTGTGCCACTTCCCTGCAGAGTGCCTTAACCATGTGCAGTTATGCATGGTGGAATGCAGTTTGTCCCTCCTTTTTGAAGTTGTGCCACTGTGGCTGGGAGGAAAGGAAAAGAGAAGATGACCTGGACAATCTGTCAGGGCAGATTAGATGATGTAGCTTTCTCACCTTTATTCTGGGAAGGAAGAACAGCTATTTATGCCTTTGTTACAGAACTTCTTTGGAATTTTACATTACTTCAACCAGTGAAGGAATTGTCTTTTCTGATATAGGGTGGCATTTTTTGATAGCTCTTTGGTTTGCTTTGGTATAATTTTTTTTTCCTATACTTGGTATCTACATTGAAAAGTGTCAGGTGTACATAAAACATTTCAAAATCTCAAAAATTAGCTCCTCCAATAACATTTCTGAGATGTGAAGTGTCACTGGAGGCCTTTGTAAGCATTCAGAAAGCATATAATGGCCAAAAGCAGAAATAACAGTATTGATACAACCCGTAACATCCCTACAGTGAACTTTGAAAAACTTGCAAAATCTACTGAATTTTTACATTTGAGTAGTGAATGTTTTAAAATACTGCTGAAACTGCATGTCAGTTGGTAGTAAATCTGAAGCTCTAAGTTTTCAGTTCTTCCTCTGTTGATCTTTACAAATGCTGTATTGCTGTTATTCCCACAAAAAGCTATGCTTTCCTTCCTCATTGTTATTGTGAGGTAACCATATTTTTGCTGTTTTATCCAGTATGGAAAGTTAACAAATTCTGGTGAGCTTATTTATATCATATTGACAGAAATAAAAGTAAAATGATACAATGTCAAATAATATGAAAGAAGAATTAACGTTATCTTTTATTTGTGAGGCTTTTCTTTCTTAACAAGTCTTGAATAAAAAATGTCTGTAAGATGAAACCCCTGATGTGAGCCTCACGTATTTTGTATATATCAAAGTAATTAACAAGGAAGCACTTCATGTAAGGCCAGAGTATTTGTCTTCTCTTCAGGAAATTTTTGCTGTTACTGTTACATAGGCCCTAAAAACAGTTAAAAAAAAAAATAGAACTTTTCACTAGAAAAGCTTTTTGTGCTCATGGTATGAGATGGCTGTATGTACTCTTTTTTTAATTCTGTAAGAGATGACAATCTGACTGTTTTACTGTGTTCCGTATGCTTTCATGTTGGGTTTCTTGTGAAGAACTGGATATTAGTTTTCCTTGTGGATGGATGGAAGTGTGCTATAAAGAAAGCAAACCTGTTCTTCCTGCTACATGTTAGCACAATATCATAAATGAAGTTCTACTGCCAGCTGTCTGCCAAGAGAGAGAACAATGTCGGGGCATGAGCAACAGCTGAAAATATTCTACTGTTCAGAACTCTCTCTCCCTGGAGGGGACAGAACATAAAACAATGTTATCCTTTATTAAAAAAATAACACGGATGCTGAAACATTACCCAAAGGATGCCTTGTGGATGGCATAGACGTTCATCTCCCAGTCTGAACACCAACAGTAGTCTCAGTAGTCTGCAGCCTTCCTAAAACACCCTTGGTGGGTAGTAAATGTGGATTTGATTTGATTTGATTTGATTTGATCTGAGCAGTTGGAAAAATCCTGGAGATACATTGCCATCAAGAGGATACCACATAAGAAGAGGTGAGGAATTGTCAGCTTCTCTTCTGTAAGAGTTTTAAAATAAGAGTGAACCTCACTGAATTCCTTGGAGGAAGGGGGGGTAGGAGGGGGAGAGCTGGTTAACCACCTACCTCTGTGGAAGGCAGGAGTTAGTATGGTTTACAAGAAGAGGGGAATATGTCCACAGCTGAACGGAAAAAAATGTTTTAAGACTTCATCCTATACTTAACATTTCCTTCTGGATGATGATTCTGTAAATGACATGCTGACTGGACTGAATCTCATTCTGAAGCACCTGATATTCAGCAAGAATTACGTAAAAATCATAACTGCTTTGATTCCACTGGGGGAGAGGAGGAGAATTAGACAATACACATCCTAGTTTTAATCTGTTTTCTGGGACCTGTCCTTTATTGTTATGATTATTTCTGAATAATAATATCATAGAACTTACTAGAATATATGACTGTTACACTTTTTCATTTTTAGGGACAGTTTGCTGTAACAAAGCACTTTGAAATTGTCTTCTATAGAATTTGTTTACTGAGTTTACATACTAAAGTTTATGGGTGGAGGAACTTGTTCTGCATGGTTTGATTCCAGCCCTCTGATTTCAGAGACTCATGAAGACTTGAAAATAAAACAGCGTTTATAATAAAATAAATGCAATAGCCATTGATGTCTGTTTATTGTATGTAAAAAAAAATAAAATAAAAATAAAAATAAAAGCTTTTCAAAAGGCAAAATAACATTCCTGTTAATAGCATTTGTGATTGTCTTTTATGAAAGTGTCTTTGAAAGGGAATATGTAGGTGACAGACAGGTAGTGGCAACAGCAGAAATACAAGATACTACAAAATTCTGAAAATGAAGAAAGCCCCTTTATTTTTTTATTTAAGATAAATCGCACAGTAGATGGAGCACTGTTTCCAGCTTAGGTACACCCAGGATTATTGTTTTAAATTATGAAATTTACATTAGAAACAGGTAATCACATCATTCTGTTAGCTTTTCCAGAAAAGGTGAGGTTGTTGTTGATAACCTTCAATATTGCAAGATCAGTATACAACTGTTTGCTCTTTCTTTGTCTCTGAAATCAATCCAGAAGTTTTTATGGTTTTGTTTTGTTTTTGCAGTAGTGAGCAGACTTTTTAAGCAGGACTGTAAATGGTCATCTAAAAACAAAAGTTTGTGCACTTTTTTTCTATTTTCTTCTTAAAGTGTATCCTCAATGGGTCCTTTTTATGTTTTTGTTAACTCGAGTGATATCCACTAGGTGGCAGGAACAACCACAAGTTTAGCAGAATGCTTGAAAATATGCTTGTGTTAGTTCAGTAGAGGAAGCAGCACAAGAGTGATTAATTCAGCCTGATCTATAATGAACTATGAGAGTGCATGTTCTTCAGAGTTTCACTCGAAGGGTCATCACATTAATTGCACGATTTGAAACCACTTGAAATATTTTCAGGCAACCTGGACTAACTCTGAAATATATTTAATTTGCTATACCTATTTACCTAGTACACAGTCAGACTTTCATTTCAATTATTTTAGTAAATGACATGTCAATCACACATCATACTTTTTCTTTATTGTTATTAATGTATTTTTAATATTTACTGCTACAAAGATAGTCATTAACTTAGTTTACATATCAAAAAGCAGAGCATGGAGACAGCTTTCATGAAATACAGCAGTAGGTAGTAGTTATTGCTTCTTAAAATACACATTCTACTTTCAGTGGCAATGACTCTTAGAGAAAGGAGGAAATATGCCCATTGTATCAGACCATACAACCATTTTACAGTTGAAAGAGCAAATTAAGACTTGTTCTTGAACAATGGAACAAAGCATAAAGTAGAATTTCTGTTAATTGGGGCCACCCAAAGCAGATGAGTTTTGTTGTACTAACTACACCATACCAGTACAGCTATGTAGATAAAGTCCCAGTAGTAGCGGTTAGGATGAGTTTCTCTCCTGTGCAATTTCTATGGTGCTGTGTAGTAAGGCCATGCCACTATATCGTCTTCCATGTCAGTTAGACATAATGTAGAGCTGTGTATAAGTATCAGAATAGTTTGGGTTGGAAGGGACCTTTACAGATCAAGGTCAACCCCCCTGCCACAAGTGGGGACTTCTTTCACTAGACCAAGTTGCTCTAAGCCTCTTCCAACCTGGCCTTGAACTCTTCCAGGGATGAGGCATCCACAGCTTCTCTGGGCAACCTGTGCCAGTGCCTCACTACCCTCAGAGTGAAGAATTTCTTCCTTATATTTAATGCAAATCTATATCAGTTTAAAACCATTACCCCTTGTCCTATCACTACACGCTCTTGTAAAAAGTCCCTCTCCATCTTTCTTACAAGCCCCCTTTAAATATTGAAAGACATCAATGAGGTCTCACTGGAGCGTTCTCTTCTCCAGGCTGAATTCCCCAGCTATATCAGCCTGTCTTCACAGGAGAAGTGCTCCAGCCCTCTGATCCCCTCTGATCATCCTTGTGGCCCTCCTCTGGACCTGCTCTAGCAGGTCCTCATCTTTCTTGGGCTGGGGGGCCCAGACCTGGATGCAGTACTGCAGGTGGGATCTCACAGGAGAATCACATAACCTCATTAACTTAATCTGCTGTGCAAGTTGAGAGAATCTCAGTCTCCATCTACATTAGTAATTCCTGTGGCATGCTCAGAGTAGATCTATGAAGAGAGGTGATTGGTGCTGATGACCCAGTATCCACATCAAGTAGCTTTAAAAGCCAGGGGAATTACTTAAGGTAAGCACTAGTGTGGTCACATAGACTGGATGCCCACTAGAATTTTGAAAAGAATTTTTTGAGTTAGTTTCATTCCAAAGCATTCAAGTTTGCACACACTGAGACAGGTCTGCAGTGCTGATAAAACTGAGGTAAGTGGGGATGGAGATTCACCTCCTGTTCTAAACTAAATTTAATGTAGAAGCACCCACAGGGAATCTACATTTAGCTTCCAGTGGGTAAATTCCCAGTTCTTCATCATGGCAGTGGAAGAGAAAGGCTAATGGAGAGGCTGAATATCACTACAGGAAGAGGAGTAATCACCTTCAAAATAGAACTTTAATGATTTTAGTTCTTCAGATTCAAAAGTTCTATTTCTCACAGTAACTTCTGTATTTCTAAAACATGTAGATCTGGGATTTTTTATATACTGAGATCAGTTTTCTCTGAGGGAAAAATAACTTTGCATGTGTGATGGCAATTCTCTTATTATTGAATAATATTTTAATATTGAAATGCATCAGAAATATTGAGTAATAATAATAACTCTGATGCAATCAGAACGATCTATTGCATGCAGTGATGGTGAGTGAATTGTGAGTCGTGGGATCACAAGAACTATAAGGTAGAAAAGAACCCTCTCAATTGTCTAGTTTTCTCTAAAAAGACAAACTGAATGATCTAACAGGTTTTTAACATTATTCATTTTTATGGTCCATATCGATTAACTAATTCTGGCTCTAGCCCTACAAGCTGGATACAAAGAAGGAAGTTGAGCCTCTTGCAGAATTTAATGAACACCGTGGGGTGTCTGAAGAGGTACATGTTTTGGGTTATGCAGGTCTGACGACACTTGTATGGTCTTAATTCATGCTCACTTAAAATTTGAGCAGACCTGTGTGTGAATTTTACACATTCAAGTTAAAATCAAACTTTCCACAGTATTAACCAAATAATTGTTTTGGCTCATACCCTGTCTATGAAAGTATCCACTGGATGCATGAAGTTTAAGGATGGCAGTTTTACCTGTAATCTCTGCACACACTTTTCATTAAAACATGAAAAAAATAAAATAAATATTAAAGGAAAAGACTTTGAGTATTTAAATTTCCTCATCTCATTGGTTCAGGTCTATAATCTGTAAAAGGCCTTTTTATTCAGGAATGTTGATCATCTCTAATTCCTGCTGTAGCAGTGCTCAGCATCTTTTTGAAGCTGAGATCTATGGTTTTAAGCTAGTTCCATGTTTGTTCTTTTTTCTTAAAGGCCTTGCAGTGTTAGACTTCAATGTTAATCATTATATCCATCTTGTTAAATATTTTCTATCTTGTCTCTGTTTACAAACAGAATGAATTCCCTAAAGGTGTTTTCTGGCATTTGTCATCAGTCATTTACATGAAATTTGCAGTCAAAGTGCAAACAATGGCAGTGGTCATTACAACATGTGCTTCCTTTTTGTATTTTCTGCACAACCTGTTCTCTCACACTAGAACCAGGATGTTCACATGTATGTGTGTGGCCTTTAATACCAGTTCTGTTTTTAGTGAGTGGCCAAATCTTACCTCTGGATAGGTGCAGGAAGCGTACTGTTCCCTGAAATGTCTGCATACATCATTTTACCCACTGAGATTAGTTTAGACATAGATTTTAAAACATTTTTTGTTCTTTAATTATTCTCTGGTAAATTTTAGTTATAAAGCATAAAGCAAAATATATCTCTGCATGATGATGGGTCTTTCAGACAATACTGGAAAAGGATGATATACTACAGCAGTTTTAATTGCTGCAGAGTGCTGATCCATCCTTGGAATTCAACTACAGGATTTTGTCATCACAAGTATTAAAGGGGCAAAGACAGGCTGAAAATCACAACAGCACCGGGGGAAAATTTTGTCCTTATTGAAGCCAATGGCAAAAGTCCCATTGACTTCACTGGGGCCAGGATTTCACTCCATATATTTAAGGAACAACAAAAAAGTATTACATGTGTTACTAATACTGTGTGGAAAGTGAAATATATTCTTTTTTTTTTTTTTTTGGTATCTGATTGGCTTTTCATTGTTTTTGTTACAGATTAATTTTGAATTTCTTGTCCCCTAAAGCACAAAAAATATATATGAAGTTAACACTTCAATGTCTGATTACACAGTCAGACTTGCACAGATGGATGAATCTCATGGAATTTTTCATCTGCAAATTTGAATATAGGATCAAGACTCGAAAGATGACAGTAACATTATTGAAAGATAGAATGTACTCAGTAGCATGATTTTTTTATGTGAAATTCGCTCACTCTTGACCCAGAGTTTGACCACTTTCAGGAAATTATGTAAGTCGCACCTCCCAGTCCAGACTTTGTGCTAAGCTCTTTTCCCAGCATCCAGTCTACTCTTAAGTTTTCCCATCTCTGTCATGTAAAGTGGTATTTCTGGGCAGGTGGAGATTTCTGCTTCATATACTTTACTTTTACATGCAATCTAAGCCATGTAAAACACATTCAGGCCATGTACATGCTAGGTTTTTAGTACCAGCTCAATGGCCTCAGTGCAAAACCTGGTCCCATTATGCTCTCCACAGATGTGCTGTGAGGTTTACCAGTGCATTGTACCTTGGTTTCAAAACAGCAACAACTAAAACAGTGGCTAAAAAGGCTGAATAAACATGGTTTCAGTACTACCCCGTGGATTTTCATATAAATTCTTACAATAGTACTTTTTTTTCTATATTGATTTCTTAGTTTAGAACATTCCCTGTTACCTTATTAAGAAATCATAAGGCACTACTGGATATCATTAACAAAGTGTTTCACTTCTATGTTAAGAATGGGTTCCAAATACAGAGAGAGCCAGTCATCTTCAAAATGACCACATTTCCAAGGGAAAGTTGTGCATAGTTCATGTACAGGCCATATGTGCACAAAATTATTTTTTCTTTAATTCCCACATACTGCTAAACATCAATATCACTAAAGTGCTTTTACTTGCATTTGATGTAATCCACGATCATACCTTGACATACTTAATGTAGCAAGGCCACTACATGGTTCTATCCATTCCGTGGATGGAACTTTGACAATTAAAAGCAAGAATCACAGAATCATCTAGGTTGGAAGAGACCTCCAAGATCATGGAGTCCAACCTCTGACCTAACACTAACAAGTCCTCCACTAAACCATATCACTAAGCTCTATATCTAAATGTCTTTTGGGATGCTTCATTACCTGTGTTATGTTTGAAATATTAAGATGTTATCTCAAGGTTAAATTTAGAGAATATTTTCTGAAATGTGTACATGTTATTTTCAGTAGGCAGAGAAAAAAATACCCTAATGGAAATCAGTGACAGATTCATCTGTCATTAAATGATTAAATTCATTAAATGATTAAATTCATTATATTCAGAAAGGTCCAAATTTTATATCACAGGTCTGACTATTTTTTGATGATTCTTACGTGTGGAGTAGTCCTTTGTCATGGGTCAACAAACACTCTTTCAAAAAAGTCCTGGGCACGATCATAGACTCGTCTTGGGACTATTTTGCAACAGATTTGGATGGACATTAGCCTGGTTTAGAGACTGAGGAAGTTTCAGTAATGAGGGTACAACTGAATTACAGCAACTGGGTTTAGGGACAGAGAATAATCTCAGGTCCTGCTTGACATGCTTGGTGCACAGTAGACTCTCTGTGCAGATATCTAAGGACATAATTTCATTCCCACACGAAAAGGTACACAGTGACTTTTCTAGGTATTTCATTGTCAAACTGCACTGTCACCACCCTGACTAACGTAAAAGAAGGGCAGCCAAGTGGGCAAACTGCATTTTGGGTTGTATTAAACCACAGCATGGCCACCTGGTCAAACGAGGTGTTTCTCCCAGTGTATTTAGTGCTGGTGGGACCTCACTTTGAATATTGGTTGCAGTTCTGTTCTCTTCAGTTTAAAAGGGCTGTTAAGGTACTTGGAAGTGGCCAGAGGAGGGCAACAAAGCTGGTATTGAGAGCTGGAATGCATGTCCTAAGAGGAGAGGCCAAGGACACTTGAGTTGTGTGGTTTGGAGAAAAGGAGGCCGAGAGGTTACCTCAGTGCTCTCTGCAGCTTACCAAGGAGGGGAAGCAGAGATTGAGGTGCTGGTCTCTGTTCCTCCGTAGCTGATGACTGCAGATGAGGGAACAGCACAAAGCTCTGCCAGAAGTTCAGTCTGGACATTAGGAAAAATGTCTTTACTGTGAGGGTGGTCAAACACTGGAACAAGCTTCCTGGGGAGGTGGTTGGTACCCCATGGCTGTCAGTGTTCAAGAAGCATTTGGATAATCCCCTCAGTAATATGCTTTTTTTTTCTTTTAGCCCTGAAGTGGTTGGGCAGTTGGACTCAATATTTGTAGGTCCCCAATTTCCCTTGTGTCTGAAGAAAATTGCTTTGAAGCTTAACTGACAGGTTGTTTACTGCAGTTTTCTGTGTTACATGGGATAATGCAAGGGACTGGGAAAGGTAGGGGGAGCTTGAGGTCACATTCATACAAATGGTCATAGTGGTCCATGGAAAATATTTTCTTTCATGTGTTCTGTGTCAGGATGATCTTTCAGTTGAACGGGTCAGTGTGGTCTGCAGTTGAGCATTATCAGTTGATCTGAGCCCTAAAGTGTTTGCTTTGAATAATTCTTATCATTTTTCCCCCCCAAAGAATTACACAACATGCAATACCTCTAAAAAGTCTTATCAGGAATCTTTTGAAGTAAATAAAATATATTTTTGCCATTTAAGGCTTGACTAAGCAATTGATAAAATATGAAATTATTTGAGAACTGTATGCCAATGGAAGCACATATCCAGCAAGATAAAAATCAGAATGTAAATGTGTATTGAATAGAAGCACATCTGTAAACATAGTAGCTTTAAACGTGATAACATGGGTAAACAGTAGGAAGGATAGAATTGCACAGACTTCATTATGGATTGTGCAATCATGTTGGGGACCTTAGGCATGTACTTCAGTTGCTAGCCTGCTCTGACACCCACAGTCTCCAAATAGTGTATTTGGTGCTTGCTTAAACCATTCTCCACTGCAGTCATACCTTCAGTTGCAGTGTCAGCATACATGAGAGAAAAGCTGCTGTAACTTCCCACAAAATAGCTAGACTGAAAATCAGATTATGTACTGGGTTCTTTGAGTTATAGATTCATAAATGGGTAAAAAATAATAATTGGACCAAAAGATTTTCTGTGAAAAAAACAATTGAAGGTTCATATTTTTCTCAAATTAATATTTTTGCTGTTTTCTGTAGAAAACACAAATACATATTTGGGAGCAATTAAAACATTAAAAATTGAAAATCAGACAAAAGTATGAAAAAGCAATTACTTTCTTTACAATCCAGAAGAATGCTAAGAGTTTTGAGAGACTGGGGAGATTTTGAGCTAAGTGAAGGAAAAAGAGCCTTAGTAGGATTTTTGTTCCAGTTTTATATTTCTATGAAGACTAATTGATATGTTTCTGTCCCCTTAGCTGTGAGACTGATTCAGAACTCTGACCTGATCTGCCTTTGTCCTTAGCTTTGATAGAGGTGAGTGCAACCAGGAAATTTCAGCACTGAAAATGTACATAATGCACTGATACAGATTTTGAAGCTACATCAAACTTCACAGCTTAATTTTTTTTTGAGGCTGTGTAGAATTCCTAGATTTCTCTTAGACAAAGCCTTTCTAGTTTGCATTTTAAATGCCGAACTGTCTTCCTGGTATCATGTCCCCATCTTGAACCTTCACAGTTCTTTTCAAGCAGACTAACATTTTTTTTCTTTAGTGCTGCCACATCAAACTTATTTACCACATTATGTGCCTTAGATTAACAGTGGTCCCATAAATACCTTTGAAAGCACAAGTGTGTAGACACCCAGTTATGATAAAGTTATTTTTACTTATAGCTTTCAATATATATTAAATACCTCTAGTTATAGTTTGGAGTTTAATCAGAAAGTTTGACACCCAAATCAAGTGCTAAGGGCTCGGACACAGTGGTGGAATACCAGTGGTTCTCAAAGATCAATTCAACACACATCCACCTGGACGAACTGAGTTAAAGTTTTGTCTTGAAAACTTTTTTTTTTTTCAGCCTGGACAGGAAAAATTCTTATAGAATTAGCCACTAGTGATACTTAGTAACATGTAAAGTGACTGTCATTTTCTTCAAACTAAGAGCAACTTGCAACAAGAAAATCCTACTCTACATTTTTATTTCCAGCTGTTTCAAAATTTAGAAACTTGATAATTAGCATATCTTAAGTATGCCTGCTGTAGGAAAGATTCAATATTAAAGAAATTCCTATGTGCTTTTGAAATGTATATTTACCTAATTATTTTATTTTCCCTCTTACGAAATGATGAAACATAAATATGTGCTAATTAAGTCTGTTTGTCCAGATGGATTGAGGCCAAATTTCAAGACTGGTTTAACACCTGATAAAACAGTGACTTGAGAAAAGGATCCTTGCAAACAAGCCTAAAAGGTATGGATGATTTGATAATTTTCAAGACAAAAAAACAAGCGTCATATACATTTTGCAAACAAACTTCACAAACAGGTCTGCAGAAATATAGGCTAAGGTGTAATTATGCTAGTCTATGTGACTGTTCTCACATGAACCTTTCCTTGGAATCAATAAAGTCAGTCATGCTTATTTCAGGGAGTGAATCATTGAAGATAAGATGTATAACTAATCAAATGATATAACAATGTTACATTGAAAAATTTTAGATTAATATAAAAACCTTTTCTTTACATCTGTGGGTACTCCTCATCCCTCTAGTTTATCTATGAATCAATCTCAGGATCAGACATACCACGAACACGAAAAACATCTAGCAAGTTTTGGAGTGCTTCTCAGAAACAGCAGATTTTTGCAATGAAGTGCACTGCATGTTGACTGTATGCATGTTGACTGTATGCATGTTGACAGGCATATATTCATTGCCTATAGGCCTATATCAGAAAAGTAACGTAGATAGTGACTGGAAGTAGAAGGCTTCCATGAGGTCAAATTAAAATTTGAGTAAAAACAGGGATCAGTCTGCATGAATTGATGACAGCATTTTGTTCCTTTCCTTCAGTTTCTAGTTTCTCACTAATCATTATCTCACTAATCATTAGACTACCTACATGCCTGTCACATGACTGGAAAGAGGACTTCATCCACCTCCAATAAACAGCACATAAAAGCTAGCAGCACATCCAGCCTGCTACTTCTGTGAGGCCTGACAGAAATGGAGGCACTAAAAGTAGGCCAGATAGTCACATAAGACTGTTAGAGCCCATTCTCCTCACACTAAGCTCTTTTCATCTAAGCATGGCAGTGACTGTAGCTGTCTTAAACAAAACTTCTACTGTCAGTGGAGTTTAAAAGAATAACACTATTTTATATTAAGAGGAGAGCAAGTTGCACCTTTATGGAGATTTCAATATGAGCAAAACAACGGAGACATAATTTTTCCAGTAACATCTTAAAATTAGAGAACAATCATGAGCCAATTACTTTTAAATGTACATAGGAGAGCATTAGTAGTATATTTTCATAGCATACTAGGTTCTGGAAAACCACAATGCAGACAGTCACACAGGATTGAAAATACAACAGGAACAAATACAGTGGGAGCTAATAATCAAAAAATGAATGACAGCAATGGCTGAGACAGAGAAATTAGAAAGTAAAGAAAAGTCATAGGGAAAGAAAAAAGATAAAGAGAAAAACGTGTTTGGGAGACTTACAATTTTAGAAGTTTTAAACAACAAACATGGTCAGTGAAGATATGCTGTAAATAACAATGGAGAATACGCAGAAGTTTTAAAGAAATATTTTATTTTCACATTGGGAAAGTATGCTAGGTGACTATAATAAGGTCATGCTCGAGTATTTTCCACTCTAACAGTCACTAATGAAGATATTAAATGTCAGCTATTACAATGCATACTTTCAAATAAGCACATAGGGATGTGCTTGCATCCAAACATTATTTTTTTTAAAGCTGCTTGAGGAGGTCTCTGTGTTTTTAACGCTGATTTTTATAAGTCTTCAGTCACTTCTTAAGGATTGGAAGAAAGTTAGCATAGTGTCAAGAAGTGGCTATTTTTTTATTTAGACTGTAGCAAGGTTTCAAAATAATGTTCCATAGCAACTTGAGACACAACTGGGGAGGTGTGTTCTTGGTGTGTTCATTGTAACCTTGGCTAGACTGTAAGGCTTCAGAGAGTAGTTAGTATACAATATAGTCCACTATTGGTGGTTGGTTACTAGTGGTTTTCCCTGGGGCTCAGTACCAGTCCTGAAACTATTCAGCACTGCCAGAGTCCAATACTCACTGAAACTCATTTGGATATTCTATTCATGGGGGTTGTAACATTTAATATCAGATTTACTTCTTGAAAGATACTTGATTGTTCACAAGATTTTGATTTAGAAATGCAATAAATGTACTGAAATCTCTGTACAAGTAATTGCAGTGTGCAGTTGGATCACAGTACATTACATTACAAATATAATTCCCATTATCAGTCTCTATGCTCAACTGTCACAATGCTGGAAATCCCCAGTCACTGGGAACAAACTGGGTTGAAGTCTGCTCAAGCCTGTTGCTGTCTTCAAAGTTATTTTGCTAGTTTTTTAGATTTTATACTCTTCTGTTGAGCCAGCTATTCACTCCCCACATGCTAGTCTGGTTAACACAGAGATGCATTCACACATTCTTAGTGAACTCAGGGAGAAACATTTACACCTTTAGTTTATCCATTCAACTGTCAATAGCTGTTTATCTAAAACAAAGGCCACCCTCTGGTCCGTTGGTGTTGAGGTACTCAGCTTCTTTGCAACAGCTGTGGTTAGCCCCATCCAATATTACTCTCTAAGCTTAATAGGCTGTGCCCATCTCTACTTTCATTTTAGGAGTTTTTTCAGTGAGTCAATTCTACATCTAGGGTTTTAGTCAGTCACGAGTATCTCCATTAACAACCTAGAGGATGGAACAGAATTCACTCTTAGCAGTGTGGGTGACAGCAAATGGAGGGGGGGATTGACAGGCTGCAGGGCAGGGTTGCTACTGAGAAGGCCTTGGACAAAGTAGAGATGTGGGCTGACAGGACCGTTGTGAAGTTCAGCAAAGGTAATTACAGAGCCTTGTGTTTGAGTGGAATGAGACTAACAGAACATTCTGGGATCTCACTTGACAGAAACCAGCACTGCAGGAGAGGAACTGGTAGAAAAGTTGAACATAAGCCAGCACTGTGCCTCTCCAGCTATGACGGCCTGCCTTATAAGAGGCTGTTTTAGAAAGAGAGCAGCCATCTGTGGTGCTGTGTCCTCTTTGATGAACTCATCCTTGAGATAAATCATAGAATCATAGAATATCCCGAGTTGGAAGGGACCCATAAGGACCATCAAGTCCAACTCCTGGCACCGCACAGGTCTGCTCAAAGGTTTAGACCATGTGACTAAGTGCACGGTGCAATCGCTTTGTAAATACAGACAGGCTTGGTGCAGTGACTACTTCACTGGGGAGCCTGGTCCAGTGTGCAACAACCATCTCGCTGAAGAACCTCTTCCTAATGTCCAGCCTAAACTTGCCCTGCCTCAATTTAACACCATTCCCGCGGGTCCTATCACTGGTGTTTACAGTGAACAGGTCATCTGCCTCCCCACTCCCCCTCAGCGAGGAAGTTGTAGACCGCAATGAGGTCCCCCCTCAGCCTCCTCTCCTCCAGGCTGAACAGGCCCAGTGCCCTCAGCCACTCCTCATATGTCTTCCCCTCTAGGCCCTTCACCATCTTCATTGCCCTCCTCTGGACACTCTCCAACAGTTTGATGCCCTTTTTGTACTGTTGTGCCCAGAACTGCACACAGTTCTTGAGGTGAGGCCGCACCAGCGCAGAGTAGAGCGGGACAATCACCTCCCTCGACTGACCAGCGATGCTGTGCTTGATGCATCCCAGGATATGGTTGGCCTTCATGGCTGCCAGGGCACACTGCTGGCTCATATTCAACATTGCTGTCAAACACAACCCCCAGATCCCTCTCTGCAGGGCTGCTCTCCAGCGTCTCATTGTCCAGTCTGTACGTATAGCCAGGGTTGCCCTGTCCCAGGTGCAGGACCCAGCACTTGCTTTTGTTAAACTTCATGTGGTTGGTGATCACCCAGCTCTCCATATAACATATATGTTATAACATATAAATGGAGCTATGCTCTTCTCAGGAATGACCAGTGGAGAGCTGAGGGAAACAAAACACAACAAGGGATATTCCAGAGATATAAAGAACAATACAGAATTTGAACAAAAAATAGGACAGATCTCCCAGGGAGATTGCAGAATCGCCATTCTTGAAGATTATTCAAGTTAGCTTGCCCTAAGCAACGTGCTCTAACTTTGAAGTCACCTCTGCTTTGAGAAGTGATTGGACCAGGTGACCTTCTGAGATCCCTGTCAACCTAATTTACACTGTAATTCTGTGATATGACCAGAAAAGGGGATCAACCATTCAGTGCTCCACTTCCTGTCATAGTTGATGGACTTTCTTATACACAGTTTGACTGCTAGGATTCTGTTACTGCCAGAAATCAAGATGGAATAAGGCAGATAAGATATCTACCTAAAATTGTCAAAATCGTTAAACTTTTCTGCAAGAGAACTTGTATGAAAAAAAACAACAACTAAGAACTCAACTACACAAACACTACAGAAACCCTCAAAATTATGAAGGAAATGTAGAGTTAATGGCACAAATTTACATAATATTTGACCTAAGATCGTATAGAATATAAGATCTAAGAAAAAACTTGTCTTTGGATACTCCAAATGTGAAAGATGCAGCTTTTGAAAACACTTTTCATCTGTCTCAGTCAATGTTTTTAAATGCCCATAATGTCATAGAAATGCCTCTGTGTTCTGAACTCATCTTCAAAATGTTTCATTTTCAGAACAAAAGAACTAATATAGTCTTGAAAATACCTTCTCACCTTAAGTTTTAGTTACTATCGTGTTACTAAGAACATTGTCATTCATGTTTATTTTTAATTAAAATATTCAATGTAACATTCAAAGAGTGTCTTCACTAAAATCCTAAATGATTCATACGTCATTTTTTGTTAACTATTGGTATAAATGGTAAATAACTGATTTTACTATTATTTGGAAGAAGGAGGACTTCGTTACCACTTACCTATAGAGTATAGCGGTTCTAGGATCAATTAGCTAGCATCACAGTGACAGTTCTGAAAACTGAAAATGGACACAATAATGATGAGATTTTGAATAAATCGCTACTGTTTCCTGTAACACTCAGACTTTATCTGGGAGTGGAACAGAAGTCAGTTGTTTTCTTTACAGTCTTAGTCAGACGCATGAGTATTAAAACAACTGTCGATGACTGTATACTTGTTCACTTACTGTCTCGCTTTCCTGATTAAATTAGTAATTCCTCCTCTGTATTTTTCCTTTACATAGTCTAATCAACCAGTGAAGAATGAAGTAATAGGAATACTTATGGTCTCTAGTTAGTGGTAGAACAATTAAACTGTCCTAGATATGATGCTCCAGATTCGTTTTTATTAAAGAGACTACAACTCTATCTCCTTGTATTTCCTGTAGACTTTATGGACTTGGAGGAGCTAAGATAGGACAGGCTCTGTAGATGAAGTACACTGTAGTTGGTTCTTAGCCAAAAACAACTTTTGACAAGCACTCTTGTGAATTTTTTCAACTGCAAAACCTGTGCAGTATTTGTACAGGGAGCAAGTAGTCTTATCAATAGTGCTGACTCTACCAGTGTTTATCAGTATTGTGCATGTAGGTTAAAACTAGTGTCAGTAAGTGAATGAACTCAGGCCTGAAACCAGCGTCTGCCTGTACCTCCTGTTTATCCCAGTCCTTATCAGAGAAGTTATAAAGAAGCTGTTTTTTCTGAGCCCATTTGGATTATAAAGAAGCAGCAAGAAACACCATGCTTTTATTACTAGGATCCTAGATACCTGGACTTTGTACGTAACAAATCTCTGTTGGCTGCAACCTTTGCACAGCATAATAAATACGTTTGCTGCGTGGCAATGAGCTCATAGAATTAGTAGCAGAAAAACAAAGAAATGTTTTGAAGTTAGTCATGTAAAACTACTCTTAAATACAGAAGGAACTGCTGCTTTATAGCCAGTGTATGCTCTAATTGATTTGAATAACAAAACTATCTTAATAGATGAAAAAAATCTTTGTCTTTCAGTACTGTTAATTAATTGTGGTTTTATAGGAGTGTTTCAATTTCAAACTCAAACACAGAAGTTGTATATAAGCAAAAAAACGTACCTTTTAACTAGAAAAACAACTTAATACATGGCAACTGTAATGTCAGGTGTACTTTGAAATACTTTTTGGAAAACCAAAATCTGATAAAATAATTCAAATTGTATTGCATTTGTTTTTACCTAAACGTTTTTGTTTGTTTGTTTGTTTGTTTGTTTGTTTTCCCTAAGAAAAACAGAAAATATACACAAGATTTTCATAAATTTCCCCTTGGAAATTGTTGGTCAAATAAACATTTCCTGTTCCTATGGTATTAGCAGTCAGAATTTTTAAGGGAACGGGCCTGGAAAAGAATTTCTTAAAGCATCCAGGAAGCTAAGTAGAAGTGGCATACATGTAATCACATAAACTAGTGACATAAATGGAAGACATTGGGTGCGTTTTTTCATCACAAGATAATTAAATGCTTTTGAAAAGCTGTCTCTAGGCTTTAATCTATTTTCATAAAATCATAGAATAAGAGAACAGCTTGGATTGGAAGAGACCTCAAAGATCATCCAGTTCCAACCCCCTTGCCGTGGGCAGGGATGCCACCCACTGGATCAGGTTTCCCACAGAATCACAGAATTTCTAGGTTGGAAGAGACCTCAAGATCATCGAGTCCAACCTCTAACCTAACACTAACAGTCCCCACTAAACCATATCCCTAAGCTCTACGAGCTGCTGATTGTGGGCAGCCCCCACAGGATCAGTTCAGGAAGGACAGCATCCTGTGGGAGGGACCCCACGCTGGAGAGGAGGCAGATAGTGACCATGGAGTGGCAAGAGACAAAGCATCAGGCAATGACCACAGCTCCCATTCCTCATTCTCCTGCACCACTCGCATGGGGGGAGGGTGGAAAGGAGGGAAAGGGTGGAAGAAGGTGGATGGAAAGTGTTTTTAGTTTCTGTCATTTGTTTCTCACTTCTTTAGCTTGTTAGTAATTGGCAATAAATGTTATTAATCTCCCTATGCTGAGTCTGTTTTGCCTGTCATGATAATTGTTGAATGATCTCCCTGTCCTTATCTCAACCCTTGAGCCCTCTTCACCATATTTTCTCCCTCTTTCCCTTCAAGGATTGGGAGTGAGAGAGTGGTTGTAGTGGAGTTTGGCTGCCCACCTGAGTAAAGCCAGCACAAATATTACAGAATCACAGAATTGCCTAGGTTGGAAGAGACCTCAAGATCATCGAGTCCAACCTCTGACCTAACACTAACAACTCCTCCACAAAGCCATATCACTATGTTCAACATCTAAACGTCTTTTAAAGACCTCCAGGGATGGTGACTCCACCACTTCCCTGGGCAGCCCGTTCCAATGCCTCATAACCCTCTCAGTAAATAAGTTCTTCCTAATATCCAACCTAAAACTCCCCTTTCAACCTAAAACTCCCCTCAACCTAAAACTCCCAGGGCCTCATCCAACCTGGCCTTGAACACCTCCAGGGATGGGGCATCCACAGCTTCTCTGGGCAACCTGTGTCAGTGCCTCACCACCCTCTGTGTGAAGAATTTCCTCCTAACTCTAAATCTCTTCTAGTTTAAAACCATTCCTCCTCGTCCTGTCAATATCTGATTTTGGAAAGAGTTGCTCTCCATCTATTATATAAGTCCTTTTTAAGTACTGAAAAGCTGAAATTAGGTCACCCCAGAATCTTTTGTTTAGGCTGAACATCCCCAGCTCTCTCAGCCTTTCTTTGCAGGAGAGGTGCTCCAACCCTGTGATCATGGCCCTCCCCTGGACCCTCTCTAACAGCCCCACATCCTTCCTGTGCTGGAGGCCCCAGACCTGGGTGCATTGCTCCAAGTGGGGCCTCACAAGGGTAGAGCAGAGGGGGACAGTCACCTCCCTCCACCTGCTGGCCACTCCTCTGCTGATGCAGCCCAGGATGACGTTGGCCTTCTGGGCTGCAAGCACGCACTGCTGGTTCATGTCAAGCTTTTCATCCACCAGAACCCCCAAGTCCTTCTTCCTGGGGCTGCTCTCAATGAGTTCTTCACCGAGTCTGTCCTCAAGTCTGGAATTGCCCTGACCCAGGTGTAGTACCTTGTACTTCGTCTTGTTGAACCTCATTAGGTTTCTGTGGGCCCTCTTCTCAAGCTTGTCCAGGTCCCTTTGGATGGCATCCCTTCCTTCTTTTGTATCAACTGCACCACTCATCTTGGTGTCATCTGCAAAGTTGCTGAGGGTGCACTTGATCCCATTGTCTATGTTGCTGATAAACATATAAAGCAGCACTGGTCCCAGGACAGGCCCCTGTGGGACACTGCTCATCACCGGCCTCCACCTGGACATAGAGCCATTGACCACCACTCTCTAGGTGCGACCTTCAAGACAACTCCTTGTCTATTGAATGATCTGCCCATCAAATCCATACCTCTCTAATATGGAGATCTGGATGTTATGTGGGCCTTACAGAAGTCCAGGTAGATGACATTGGTTGCTCATCCATTGTCAGCTGATGGAGTCACTCCATCACAGAATGCCACCAGATTGGTCAGGCATGATTTTCACTGTTTTTCATCTGTTTTAGAATAGAAACAAATGCAAGATATTAGAAAATTACTCTTTTTTTTTTTTTTTTTCTTTACAAAAGCAGTCCAGGTGTGGATTTCAGAAATATATTTTATTGCCAGAATTCAAACTAGCCTAGTTATTTTTAATACATATTATATAGGGAGGTAGAGGTAGTGCAAAACACTGCACATAGAAGTGGGTTGGACTAAAACAAAGCCTGAATTTCATCCATTTGCACTCAAAAGGCAAGGTAGAAGAAAAAAAAAAAAAAAAAAAAAAGACCTTCAGGCATATGAAGCACAATGCAGTTGGGATTTTAGGTAACTAAGTTCATCAGAGTGTTTCATATAAATCTTATTTGGGCACCTGAGATTTTGTGGGTGCTTATTGTTTTAGTGAAAACTTACTGTGGTGCTGAAAATGTTACACGTTCCCTGAAGCATCACCACCTTGGCTTTCCAGTGCCTGTCTCTCCTGTAAGACTGTTTATGATTTACAAACAAGGCATGTCTATTTCAGCTCCTCTGGGAGGCCAATTCATTCAGTGCTCTTTCAGCACCCCTAACACACATGGACAGCATTTATTTCATCACACAGTACAGCAGTCACAGATAGTTTCACCTGAAACAGCTGGACAGCTGGAGTAAGCATCAGACTTTTGTATAGCAGTCTAGAGAGTTAAAGCAATTGTCCAGGAAATGGAAGTCAGGGTTTCCAGACTACTTTGTTCAGGCATGTTTCATCTAATTTGCTTAGCTTTCAGGTGACTGCTCTAACCATTAGCTGATAGATAAAAATGCAATGGGAACCAGTCACCACCCCTTGTACTAGATAATTACCTAAGTTAATTTGAAGAACCTCCTATTTTTACTTCTGCTCAGCTGTTCTGTGGGCATAGCCCTACATTTCATGCTCAGTTAAAATTCCTTCCTAGATAAGAAGTCCTGAGCAAGCAAAGAATACCAGGCTAAGATCTGTCCTTAAAATGGTAATTAACAGGCTAATACTGTCTTTTAACAATAGTGATAATTATAATAATAGTGATAACACACTGATTCCTTGAATTAAAATCAGCTTTAAATGCATTTCAGAGAAATTACCTTGAATCTTATGTGTTCTTTGATGGAGGACACATTGTAAATCTTGTGCTTTCCAAAATTCACAAAATAAAAGCAAAGAAAGAAATGGAAAATAAATAAATAAATAAATAAATAAATAAATAAATAAATAAATAAACAGCAACCAAATCACTCAACAGAGTCAAGGAAGCAGAGAAGCAGCTAAACTTACCCAGTGTTACCCAGCTGACCCAGCTGACAGTGTTGCAAGGGTAAGAAGAGATACAAGACACACCTTTAAGTTATTATTCTAGCTATTTCTATTATGAGGAAGAGACACAGGAATAAGAATACAGTAGAGATGCAGGTAGTTACTCATACTACCCAACCTCAGGAGCCTTATCTAGCTATTTTGTCTCCATTTTCAGATGTTCAGCAGTGAAAGATGAGAGCCTCAAAAACATTGTATGTTTTCAGATGACCGGAAGATTTAGCCTCAATCCAACATGTGCTTCTGAAGCAAACCCTTACTCTGCTTTGATTCATATTTTCATACTGTCTTAAAGAATACAAACTGGACTAATTTCAAATGAAATTAAAGCAGGGATGCACCGTAAGCTATTCAGTCCTAGTTTATATTCAGTCTCTGGGGGCAAATTGAAATTAATCTGAAGTCCACAAAAATGTGTGTGCTCTGGCTATTAGGTCCTCAACATAAATAATTTTGTTCTGTGTGTCCACTCCTTTTGATCTGCAGTACATGCTAATGAAAGAATATCTTGATTCACCCCCATCTTTCTACTGACTATAGGTGAAGCTAGAAAGATTTTTCATGTCTGAGAATAAGTGGCTGAATAATCCCAGTCTCATTTTTTCTTGTTTACTTATTAGCCACCAAAGAAGTCTTCAGCTGCTTATTGTCAATGTGTGACAAAGTTTAGTTCCACAAAAGTTCTACGTTTGAAAATCAGACATATTTCTGCAATCAAAGTACCCTGTAGCTTAGAAAAAGAAAGCTAAAATAATCTCAAATAGACAGAGTTTTGGACTATACTGGTGGCCAGAAATGGCTAAAACATTACAGCTTTGAGAAGCAGTAGATATGAAGCACAGATGGATCATAAGGATTGTAACCATGTTGGTCCATTTTGGAAATCTCTGACTAGCTGGGAACCCCAAATACTATACTTAACTAAAATTAAATAGAAAATAAATATTGGTGTTCAACCTTCAACTCAAATATACGCTCAATTTATTCTGGCTTAATTTATTTTGAAATAATTTATTTCATATCAGATAAGCTGATCTAGCTGTCAGCATACATATGCTTAACCCTAAGGAAACATGGACTTAACCCGAAATTAGGTTTCATTTGCTGCAAGCTAGGAGTGAGCACATGGAGAACTACTCTGGTAGTTGTCTGTTGACTAAACTTGTCTGTTTGACTAAGCCTTTAGTCTGTTCCTAGTGGATAAGCATTCAACCATGAGAAGAAGAAAAAAAAAAAAAAAAAAGGTCATTCAACCATGAGAAAAAAAATATAGCCACTTACCTTACATGTTATTACTTCTTTTCTTTAGGGTAACGGGGATTGATATGTTTTATAATTCACTATAGAGTAGCAGGAAGAATGGTTCATGGCTTAAATTATACTGAGCTGCAAAACCCAAGATTTTGAACCATCAAAAATAGTTCTGCAATTTATCTTTAAGAAACAAGACTACCATACACCTCTTTGTAAATGAATATTGTGACTCGTGCTTGCATTCAGAGAAACAAAGGGTTACTGGTGAGGATAGCAAAATAATCATTGTAGAAACAGTGGTCACCAAATAAATGTTTAACTAAAATAAATTTGCCCTAGATTTCTTTGGCAGAATAACCAGGACACTGAAAAGTACACAGTGGTCTTCCCAGCACTTTTTAGTCCCCCTTTTTTTTAGAAATTGGAGGTTTAAAGAGCTCAATTTTCTAAATATTTTCACTTTTTTTTTTAGAACTTGTTCATGAGAAATTCTTCTTAGATCTGTGGAGGGTTTTCTAGTAAAATTTTTTCTGCTTTTGTGAAAGACTTTTAGAAACTTACAAAATATGTGATGAATCTCAGTCTGAAAGATCCAGCTTTGGAGTGGATTTTTGTTTGTTTGTTTGTTTTATGCTGCATCTTATCTATAAATCTTAGTGGCTTCAACATACTGCTGGAGGGAGCAGAAATGCAAACACACCACTGGAAGGGTTCATGGCAACATGGTACATGACTGCTTTTAGCAAAAGAGATCTGGCAGATCTGTGAACCCAATAGACCCTGAATGTAACTTTGGGCCAAAATCTTTATATTTCAGTAGCCTTTACATGCTGTCATGTGTTCTGTGAGTAATTTGAGAGTCTTAGTCCTAGCATGTTCTGTGCTAGAGCCAGTCCAACTTGGAGATCTATGAGATTGTTGACAATATAAAGCCAGACCCACCTTTATTATTATTATTATTATTATTATTATTACCTTAACCTCTTCCCCTAGATTTTATTTTATTTATTTTTTTAATGGATGAGTAATGAAGGCTTACAGGACTGAAAGATTTTTGAAGAGCTTCTCTTTGTGAACAAAAACTCAAAAGGGTGAAATCCTAACGCTCTTGTAGTCGATGGCAATTCTCCCATTGACTTCAATGCGGATAGGATTTCTTCCAAAGTGCACAGAGTTTTCTCAAGTCAAAATGTAAGCACACGGGCTTATTAATAAACGCACAATAATACAGCAAGCCAAAGGCAGTATAAATACTTAAACAGAGTGTGATTCTGTTTAAATGCCAATAGTGGACTTACTTTTGGAATCTGTAAAGGATCCAGATGCCACAGCTAGGATTTCTCACTTTCAGACATCTGGGTTCACCGATTGCTATTCAAAAGGAAATAATTAATAAAGAAAAAGTGGCAGAGTGGTGCTATATATGCTATGGCACAGGACTCTATAGTGATTATGAGCTATTTTCTAATGTTTTAAGCAAGTGAGAGATGAATTCTTTTTATATAATCCTTATTCCACTTTTTTTCCAAGAGAAAGTGAAAAATAACAACTGAAGTTAACAGAATGCAGATGAAAGTATCAGGAATTTTTGAAACTACAATTTCAAAACATGAGGAAACATGAAGATTTTAATGAATTTGCTTTCCATTTTATAGCTGTCTCTGCAAGTCAGTTGAAATTTACATATGTTTGTTAGATACGTGTCACATTACTGACTGTTTCCTTCATTGAAATGAGTAATATGTGTTTTGTAGGTTTGAGTTAGTATTTAGATATCTTTTCTGTAGGCACTGTAACTGGCTGAGTGCAGCTGTCTGTTCATTTTGTCTGTACTGCAAAGGAACACCTCCACTAATTAACTTGATAGAAATGACAAAATTCTCTTATATAATACTTGAGTTTGCATGTTACTTTTAAGTGTCTTACCGAAGAGGAGTCTGGAAATCATTCTTCCTGCCTGTAAGGGAAACAGAAAAGATTCTTTATGTCTTGAAAGAGACAGAGATGGAAAAGAGAAAAGGTCTTTTATATAAGTTGTTTCTTTCTGTGGTTTTTGTTTTTTTGTTTGTTTGTTTTGTTTTTGTGTTTGTTTGTTTTAATCCTATCTTTGAAGGACTGGTGACCCTAACCAGGGGTTGCAGCAACAACCTTATAAGGGAGGTCTGATAAGCCTGTGAAGCAATCACCTTTTGTCTAATCATTTCCAATGACTTGTCTTCTACTGAAAGCATTTGCAAGTCTAGGAGGGAAATACTCAGTAAAAACATTTATTTGAATTCATGAATACTTGAATTTTAGTTTAAGGAAACTATTTTTTCCAGTTCGTACAATCCTAAGACATATCATACATGTAAGACTACCTCTACAGAAGACTACAACTTTAAATTCACGTCTACTCATGACACTAAGCTTGGAGCAGCACTCATTTCTATAGTGTATGTATAAAATACATGCAAGTGCTGACATCCTATGTGTTATAACTTATGTTAAGAGCTGGAAACTTTACATGTGAACAGAATAGTTGTTTACAGTGAATTCATTATTGTTGTTACAAGCAGTGCAATTTCCTTTACATTGCTTTCCTTAATGTACGGATAAAGGATCCTATTTCAGACTATAAAAGACAAGTTATATATATATATATTTTTTTTTTTTTAATTTTTTTTTTTCTGGCTCCCAAGTAGTAAATGCTTTATTATTGGTTTAGAAAGAATTGTGAATTGTGATATAAACATAGAAAGCATATACAAAAACAACTTAGATATCTATAGAACTGTAGTTTGATCTCATCTTCCATAGCATTTCTCATAAAGATGAGGAATAATAAAAGTTTAGAACATTCAACATCCAGAGGGTGAAATTGAGCTGAGTTTTTGTAAACATAATCACATAATCGTTATGCATCATTTTTAAGTAATTCATCAAAGTTAGACTACTATAGATGCACAAAGGTAGGTGAAGTGACTTGTAGGTAATCAAGGCATTTAAAGTCTTGTTTAATTTCAGCAAGATCTAAGTCTCCTAAAGGATATACTGTAAACATTCTTAGACACCAAAATGAGAAAATAAGCACCTTCTGATATTATCTAAAATATCTTTATTCTTTGGGATTTGGGAGAGCTCATCTAATATATATTTAGTGTTTAGCATTAAAATCTGAATGAGCTGTCTAAGCTATCTTTATATTCAGTGAAAAGAACTAGGCATGTTTAGCACAACTCACTTCCACTGGTTTGGATTTAACTTTAGGAGATGATTTGTGCCTGGATGTACCTTTTTTCTCCCATTATTTATGGGAGAAACCTAGGTTCTGACTAAAATACAAGTATTGGTGTTCGTTGTGTTTGGTCAAGTGAATCTGCAAAGCCAGTTTAAGATTATAGATGTTCAAAGTTAGGTGAAATTAATCCCACTTTGAATCCATAACAGTAGATGACTAAATATCATTAAAATGTTGCCTGAGGAGGTAAATCAAGAGAAGAAATTCTTCATTTACACATTTCTTTTGTACCTGTTCTATTTTGCATTTTCATCATGGGGAAGAGAGACATTTGTTTTCTTTATATGAAGTTCTGAAAATTCAACATTTTCTTAGGCCATAAAGTGCATAATGGGACTCTTCTGTCAGTAAGTAGTTGCCAGTGGATGAACTCTGAATGTATTTGGAGCTCCCGGGAGATGTATTTTTATGCTAACCAGAAGACTGCAAGGACATATGGCACTGAGGTAACTTAAAACATATACTTTAAGATTGAGAGAATAATTTAAAAATAATAATAATATTTTTTAAAACTGGAATTTTGATACAACATAGATTTTAAGTCTTATCCCAAGAGAAGAGGCTTGGAAAGAAAATCTTCCATAGGATTTACTGAATTTAATAAATAAGACTTTGTTTCCATGTCAGGTTATTTCACTGTATGCCTAGTGCAGTCCTCCTTCTCCTTTTAAAAAATAGTCTATAATCTTGACTGATTTCATTTATTTTATTTTTTACCTACCCTGTTTTTTAAAAATGCTGAATATCCTTTTCCTCAAACTGCTGTTTACTTACTTCTCAGCTCCAGAAACAAATAATCTGCTGTCTTCAGCTGGGCTACCATCAAAGAATCACCAAGGAAGCAGTGGCCACATTTGTTGGCTTTGATTTGTTCATGTCCTCAAGTTATGCTTCTGTGCTTTTGTCAAATTACAGCCCTGTAGTTCAGAAAGACAATGGTGTCCAGAGACTTCAATAATGCTTGAAATGCATTTGCACAGTGACAGAAATGTGTAGAGAAAGAACCATAATAAGACATTTAATTATCCAGTGTTTCTAGAACACAAAACATCCTTGTCTGCTTTCATGGAACATGTTGGTCCTGCCATAAACTGCAGCCAGTGATTAAGACCATGGTACTTGTAAGTCTGTTGAGTCTGTTGTGATAACCCTTGAAGTTCTTTCCATCAGGTCTGTCTCTTTTTTTATCTAGGAAAATAGATTCTGTCAATCACCACATCCTGGCAAACTGCCTCATATAAAAGTATTACATATTTAGTTCCTTCTTTTTTAATGCCTTTGTTATCTGTTAGGTTAACAGGTTTATGCTAAGTTTATTTACTTTGATCTTTCTTCTTTTTATCCCATGCACTTTGCTCCTTGACCCCTTCCTCAGCTGCCCTGAGCTCAGCTTGGCATATGCCTAGAAAGGACTGCAATGCAACCTGAATTTGGTAACAGGCAGGCATTCTGCTCTCAAACAGAAACAGAGCAGGGCAGAGCTTTATGAAGCCTCACTGCTCAAGAATTCACCCAGCTTTTCAGGTGGCTTTTGCTGCTTTCTGTCAGCTTTGTTGTTTTCACAACTGCAGACATGAACAAGTTAGCCAGTTTCACTTTGTATTTATTGCAATATATTCAGTCTATGGGTACAACTTTGAATGTGAATTGTCTGTCTCATAACAAAGCTAAAATTGCCTTTCCCTTTATTTACCATTAAGAAACAAAATTGGTACTGCAATTGTAACAAGACACTACAAAAAATATTATTTTAGGAGCTTTACCAATGCAGAAATAATTGATGCTGTACATTTTCTTAATGTGTACTGAAATATCCATATTCGAAGACAAAGCATTTGTGATGGCACTGTGTATTTTCTTGGAGATATTCCCGTGAAACAGCTACTACTCTGTCCCAAAAGCAATTGTTCTGAGCCTGTGCTCTGTCCAGGGTTTCACACAAATTCCCAGTTAAACACAGGTCATGCTGAAGTCTGCAGTGTAATGGTATGTCAAGAATTATTACCTTTAAGCAATCTAGTATACTTGTGGAAGCGTCAGCATTGTGGCCAAGAACTCTGAGAACTAATTTACACTGCAGTTTTCCAAATACAATAGTGAACACAAAGCACTTCTCTAATGCCTTTAAAAATCCACCACAAAAAAGAATGAAAGGTAGCACTGCATTTGTAATTCCTCAATAATTTGTTAATCTAACGAGGCCAAATGTTTTAAAAACATTAAGCTTCCAGGTTTGTATTTAGCCTTTGAAACAAGTAGCTTGATGTTATAGCAGCTAACTTTTTAATCAACTTTTTAACATTTAATGGAGGCTACTAGATTCTGAAAAAAAAAATACCCTGGTGTTCATTTTAATTGGTTAAATATGCAGTTGTATTTAGCATAGTTAGCAGCTTCATTGTAATTATTACCATATTTCTAAAGCTTGGCTCAGATCTTTTCCATCATTAACTTTTATTACTCTATCTGTATCAAACAACAATAAATATGTAACCAAGAACCGCCCTCTTTTGACTATGTTCATGACATCATGAGTTTTTCACTGTTGAATTTATGACTGTAGTAAGGAAACACAATGTATATGGTGTCCCTCTCCCATCACTTGGAAATCATTCCTCGACTGGCATAAGTAGGTAACTGTAAGCCAATGAAAATAAATCTTTAAATTATTCATAAGAATTGTCATGGCTAATGACACCGTAAGTGCAGTTTGATAGATTATCCCCCCAGATAACGGTTGCTACATTCTACTAATGAAGTGTCAATATTAATTTATAACATTAACTGTTTTATGAAATGCTTTGTATGGCCATCACATTGCCTGAATTACAACAGAAAGTAAATTAAAGTTTAGAGAATGCTTGATCAGTTTTTCTGTCAGTCAGCAGTTTATTGAAATGCCTCCTATTCCTAATAATTGTTTTCTTGCCACAGAATGGTATATATTCTAATAAACTGTGATCTAAATTTTTTCAATAAATATCCCCA